TGTAACACTTTAGCCTGGAGCTAGGCCCTCAGCTTGTGGCAGATGCAGTTGATAAAAGACTGCATAAGCAGTCTTTTAATAAGACAGTGAATTGCTTTATGTTGGCAACAAGATTTGACCAGAAATTCAAATCTTGATTGATATTTATGTTGAAATTGTACAATAGGATTCTGGCTGTTGTTAATTTCTTGTCTGTGACACATATAACATGGCTTTAAACAAATCACTTAATCTCCTGGCCATGAAATAAAACAAATAATATTTAATAGTTTATAGCATTGTTGTGAGGATTTTGTAGATGTGTATATAAGTTTCTGATGCCTACTAAGTTTTACTCCTATAAGTAGAAAAATGCTTTTTAAGAATGCTGTAGGAGGGGCTAAGGAGATAGCTCAGCAGCATAAGCATTTGCCTGGTGAGCTCAAGGTCTCAGGTTTGATCCTCAGTACCACAAAAAAGAAAGAAAAAGAAAAAAAAAGAATGATATAGGAAGATATCATAGGCCCAGATTCATGGGTCAGACTGCCTGAGATTGAATCTCAGTTCTGTTGCTCACTGTTGTGACCCTGGAGGAGCTACTTATTTAGTCTCTAACTCCATAGTAAAGGCCTACAACTCTACTCCCAAATAGTTAGTTCCCTATTCTTGGAAAAAACCTCCTTCCCAGCAAGGCCACTGCAAATGTTGAATGCTATGATCAGCATCCATAGGCTCTCACACCTGCCTGGATACCAAGAATCAGGGAAGGGAGAATGGAAGGAGTAACTTGAACTGACCAGTGGCTTTCATGAAGTAGTGTCCTGTCAGCCCTCGATGCACGGCCGTAGGCCAGATCAACACCCAGCTTGCTCACATAAGAGCAGGTCAACACACAACACACTCCCTGTGGGCTTCCTCCCTGTATCCTGTCAGGTGCATGGGCAGGTGCCCCATATGTCGTCATCAAGACCTATGTAGCCATCTGTGAGCTTCCACAGGTCTTTCTAGCATCCACGTTGTCACATATCAGCTTACTAATCCTCAGTGCACCGTGACACAGGCACATTAGACTCCAGTGTGCTGTCACACAGACAGGACACTCACAGTTACCATGCTGTCATGCGGGTTTGCTGCCATGAATGAATTGTAGTCTAAACAAGCCAACCCTCCATCTTCATTCAGGAGGGCAAATCACCATCATAATCCAAGTCGATCTCTTTGGTCTCTCATACCCTTCTTGTACTCATTCTTGTCTCTTTTCCTTCATTGCCAAAAATGTATCTATTAACTTCAGAAATATTGGAGTCACAAGGTGAAGAAAAACAGTGTGAGAAAATATCTTTGCATGTGTTTTGGATTTCAGAGAGGACAACAGACATCACTTTAAACATTTGACTATAGTAGGAAGAGTACATTTACAGGGAGAGATCAAGAGTTTAAGAGGTATCTTGAACTGTAGATCTCTTTGTGTAATCTATAGTGTTTCTTAAAATGTTTATGCCTGAAAGTAGAATCATTTCGATCAGCTGATTTAATTTTTAATCACCCTTCATTTGCACAGTGGACTTTTAAAAAAATGTATACGGTACAGGATCTCACTACAAAGCTTGGACTCATAGTGATCTTCCTGCTTTCAGCCTCCCCAGCATTGGGATTACAGGTGTGCCCCACCATGCCCTATCTCAGTGGCTGGTGTGGCATATGGTGTTGGGGATCAAACTCTGGTCCCTGAGCTTGCCTAAGTGGGCACTTAGTCCACTGAGTTATTTTGCCCACCCTCATGGTGGATGTTTTAATGATATACTTAATACTAAACATCTTGCAGCTGAAGCAATCATCGATTGTTTTGGCTATGTTCCTCAGCAAGGAAAATTGATGGGCTTCACCTGTAATTAGTGACAACCATGTTTTCTTTTTCTTTTGGGTCTGGAGAGTATTCATCCAATAGAGACATCATATCTCCTTTGAAATACCTTAGTTTAGTTTAATCGATGTTGTGAGCAGGCATTTTTACTCAGACAATATAGACTTCTTGTCTGAAAGAGAGAAGTTATATTTCTGATTTTGCATTTTCTTTCTGCCAGTTCTCAAAACTCCTCCATCTGAAACTTGCTGTATCCTCTATGTCCTTGATCCATCCCCTTTGTGGGCTGTTCCAGAGCTTCACTCTCACTGTGTCCACCTCCAGTCTTCCCTGGAGTGGCCCCATTCTCTGTAAGATCACTCTGTTTTCCCCTACTACCCTACCTGTTATATTTCCATTTCTCTTTCTCAACCAAACTTTATGAAAACATTTCTTTTGCTTGCTCTACTTCCTCATTTTCATTTATTCACTGATCTATTCTGTTGCTATAACAGTATTCCTGAGACCCGCTAATTGGTGAAGAATAAAAGTTTATCTGGGTTGTGGTTCTAGAGCCTGGGAAATCTAAGAGCCAGGCACCAGCACGTGGCCTTCATGCTATATCATAGTCTGTATGGTGAAGAGCACCAAGTGCTAAGATGAATCAAGCTTGCTGGCCCCATTGTCTCTTCTTTTCCTCCCCTTCCTCTCTTCCCACTTTCCCACTGAGATACACCCTGATCCTTTCTTCCTCTACTTATAGAGCCATTAGTGTTCTCATAGGGTCTCCTCCCTTCATACCTCATCTGATTGTCATTCTCTCTCTAAGGCTCCACTTCCACATAACAACATGAGAATTTAGGGATTTTGGTTCCAACACATGAACTTCCCTGGGGATTCCATGAAGCCATAGCACTCATCAACAGCAGAAGTGGCTTGCATACCCATGCCTCTACTCACCATGCTGTGAAGAAGTCACTGATGGGCTAATCAAACAACCAGTTCCCTTTTCTGACCTCACTTAACTGAACTTCGCATACAGTTGCTATCACTACTCAGCCGTCTTTCTCAATGGCTCATGCTCATGAGTTTCCACAAGAACTGTGCACTCTTATTTCTTCGCTCTTCTACACCTGACTCTTTCATCTCTGGTACATGTGGGCATCTCCTGCTCTGCCTACCTGGTCTTGGGTTGGTCCTTTTCCATCCGCAGGCTGTTGTGGATCAATTCAGCCCCTATTCAGGATCTTAGGATTAAACATCTGTATCCCCCTATATATCTTGTCTCCAGTCTAGCTCCTTTCTCCAAGTTTCTGATTAAAGATCTGGCCCTTTATTGAGTATGTATTTATGGATTGTGTCCCTCTTCCTACTTTGCCCCAAATATCCATGAGTGTGACTTCACTTGCATACGTGATCTTTGCAAGTGATCAAATTAAGAGGAAGGTATTAGAGTGGGCCATAATCCAACATGACCAGTGTTCTTAGGAAAAGGGGAAATTTGGACAGCAAAACAGATAATACAGCAGAAAGATGACCTGAGAATGCTAAGAGAAGGCACTATTTAAACCTAGGTTACTAGAGACACAGAGCAGACTCCATCCAGTCCTTAAAGGAAATCAAGCCTTTCAACACAGGTTTTTATAGCTGAGGCAAGAAATTGTTTGTTAAGCCACATAGTTGGTGATACTTGGTTAGAGCTGAAGGCTAATACACACACCCACTTGATATCATCCCCACTTGTACACTGTGTCCTAAAGTTGGATTGTTATTTTTCTTCTTAAAGGACGCAATATCCTGTGTTCTCAGGTTTAGTTGCTACTTGGTCTTTTAGGTTAGTGACCTCAGACTCCTTGAATCCTTATCTCTTAGGTATCCTTTAACCAAAAACCATGATCTTCATGTTATTTTGTAGACATTCTTTGTCTCTCTTCTTCCCAGCTCCTCCTGACCTGAGTTCTCACCACTACCAAACAGACTACTGTACAGATGGCCATTTAGCTATGCTTCCTGATTCTGGAATGAGAGCAGAGTGTTCCATCTAAAAAAACTGTCTGTCCATGTATCTGCTGCTATGGTCCTTATCTTATTGTGTGGAAGGAACACCACAAACTAACATGGCATGAAAGATCTTCACACTTTGGCCACGTGGGCTTTTCTAATCTCATCTTCTGTGCACTCCTGACTGCCTCTGAAGACAGGAGGCCCACTTCAGAACCCACTGTATTTCTTGGTCTATGCTTTTGCTTCAATTGGGTTCCAGTGTGGGAATTCTTATAATACCATTCCACACTGAACACTGAACACAGTCATTACTTGCTGGGTCTCCCCCATGCCTCTTTGCTGGGGTGGGAGCTCCTCATCTGGACTACTACAATAATGCCCTGCAAGTGCCTCTGCTATGGTATCCAGCACAGCACGTGGTTACTATGTCTGTCTTTCATATTAAAGGAGACACAGTGATTGTGTCCAGTGTCCACCAGGCTGGATCTGAGACCATACCAAGATCTCAGTAATTACTGAGTTTGTTCAAGCTTAACTCTCCACAGCCTTGCCTTGATTTTGCACTCACAGCTGTTGCCTATCATATTGCCTTTCTATGAAATGAATTGATGGCTGAAATCTCTGTTCTGCCTGGGACAATCTGCATGGTGAGTGACCTACAGCATGGTCCTGGGCCTCTGAACCTACTGTGGCACACCGACACCAACAAATGACCCCTCTGCAAAGCACTAATTTTTATTTTAAGTTTGACAATTTAACCACTGAATTAGCTGTGATTCAGAGAACAATGCCATGCTCAAACTGAGTAATTTGAGGGCATTATTAACAGAGACAGTTTATATAGGATCCAGCATATAGCAGGCAAGTGGCAAGGAATTCTGGAGAACATCAGAGCTAGCACAAGAAAAAAGGTCCAGTGGGCAAGGGGGAAAAGCCATTAGAGAATGTGAGGGCTGCGCTGTGAGCTGTAGTGATCTGCACAGCTAAACACACTTTGTCTTCACTTTCTGTCTCCAGCGCACACCCAACAGAAGCCAATAGGCAGGGAAGGAGGGACTGAAATCCATGCAGCTCAGCTCCTGGGGTCTGGGTGGGAGGACAAGCAGTAGCACCGCACAGAGAGGAGCACCTGATAACACCCAACCCAATAAACAGAACTAATTATTTAATCCATATTAATCTAATAAACATTTATTGTGTGACATTAATCAATTAGAAAAAAATTTGCTGCCACACACTACTAAGGGTTTAAAACATTGTTTCTTGTATCCAGAAACAGAAGGTAACACAGTGGTTTCCATCCAACATCTCTTCTTAATCCAGAGAGGATAACCTTGATCTTCATTATCATTTCATTTGAATTTTTAGTCATCTTATATTTTCCTCACAAGAAGCCTGAATAGAAGAAAAATGAATCTCATTTTTTATAAGAGCCACAGCAAGTAGAGTTCTCTCTGTTGTATTTTCATCACTGAAGTCTTTCTATTTATGAAGCATGGAGCATGATATTTCCATCCAAAGTGAAGCAACTATGAAAAGAGAGTGACATGGAGTATAAATCTTTAAGTTGTGTTTCATACGTGGTTATAACTCCAATTATCTGCTTATAACTCGAAATGCAAGAGTTTTCTTTTACCTTCATAAACGAGTGACTTTTCTCTCTTTAGCCCAGTCTTGGACATCTGCTTCACCAAATATGAGGTAGAAGACCAATCCTAACATACTAATAGCAAACAACAAGAAGAAGATATTCCTCCATCCAAGCTCAGGGTCCTGGAGACAAAAGACAAACAAACTCAAGTAAATATTTCTGCTGTCATGTTTTTTTCCCTATGAAACTCCACATTATTAATTAAGGCAACAAACAGTGTTCACCAGTGGGTTTCCATTTAAAAATTCATTTCCTGAAAGTGCTTTGTTAGGTGGAGAAAAAATTCCAAATACATTTAAAATGTTTTTAATAAAAGCCACTTGGAAACCCTTATAATCAGCTGATAGCTCTTTGTCACTTTTACCAAAATGCCATATACTTTCTTGTATGAATCTTGATTGAATAAATGAGAAGTGTGAGGAATTTCTTAAAGATTCTTTTTATATTGTGTTGGTGCAGTGAAAAGATTATGGGCTTTAGACCCAGACAGATCTAAGTTAGAATTATGATTATAAATTCTCTTAGCAGAAATACTTTTTTAAACCATATTTTCAGCTTCATCATTAGGGAATAGGGATAATCATACTCAATATTCAATTGATGTGAGAATATACACTCAAATAATATTATCGCATATGAAATAGCTACAAAGCGCCAGTATGCAGCAGGGACCTAATATGTTTGTTTGCATTATCCTTTTCCTTTTGCATGGTTAAGGAAATGAAAAATTTGAAGTGTTGCATGTGACACTGCTGAGTGGTGTAGAGTCACCATCTCAAGACACCCATGTGGCTCTGCGATTTCAGTGTCAGATAGTGCATCACTAGTCAGTTCTTTGTTTCCGAATGAATCAGAATTGAGATTACCAAATAAATTGTTGTATATTTTTTCTTGGTTGGGTTCATTGTCTTGGCATTATCCATAATACAATTTGATGCTACAACCTTTAAATATAGTCTTTATGCTATCACTTTTATAAATGGACTAAGGAGAGTGTTTTAAGAGTCTTTTTGGAAAGGAAAACTTTACCTGATTGAGAAGAAAGCCACTGACAATGGGTACCAGCACAGCTGATATGTGGGCAAATCCCCTTGTGGCTCCCAGAAGAAAATTGGAGTACCTGTGGGTGATAAAAATGTTCTAGACCAAATCCAGAGACACCTGATAGTATCCTTTAGCCCTGTTCTATGTGGGAATGCATCACATAATTATATCAAAAGGGATTTGTGCTGTGTATACTTAATGAGAGACATTACCACAAATCGTACCCCTCCTACTGCAGACAGGGCTGAGCTTCCTGCCTATAACTTATTATTTTCCAAAGCTTGAAGCTCCCAGCAAGGTATAAGCTAAAGATTTTTCAAAAAACATGACACTCAAAGTGGAGACAAGAGTCCTACCTTGGAGCAATATCTAAGGCATTGATATAGACCCCTGACTGACTTAAGGGGCTTAGTCCACATGAGAGCGTTAGAAATGTGATTGTTGTGACATAGCTGGAATTGAGGAAGGGCAGGGTCACAATGAGTACTGAAGAGGGAAGTTGTCCTAGGGAATGGGAGACAGACAAATTAAACAGTGACATAAATTCTTTGTTGAACGCTTGTAAACTTTTCAAACTTCAGACTCTGTTCTTACCTAAAAATGAGCTAATTTTCCTCACTGTGACAAACCTAACATTCTTGGTCAGGAGGAAATCTGCCAGCTGGCCTCCCAGGAGACCAAGGATCCAGGCAACAATGAAAGGAAGGGACGACAGGACGCCATTCTGTGGGGAGAAAACGAAGCAAGTCACATGAGAAATGGTGCGATTTTCATCAACAAATCACTAACAATCATATTGACACTATGAAGTTAATCTTTCTTAAAAAAAATTGGTAACCTCTTCAATCATACTGTCAGGCAATCTGTTGGAGCAAGTGTTAAAGTTTAGATTATTTTCAATAGTAGAAACTAACTTCTAGGAATGATTTGTGAAGGTGGAGTAATCGGCGAGTCACATAAAAAGAGAAACAGAATGAAATATACTCACATCTTTGATGTTGACTTTGTACACGTGACTGATGTAAGTAGGGATGTACATGACCTGTGTGTTAATTAACCACTGATGGCTGAAACTGCACAGGCAAATGGACCAAAGGGGCAGAGATCTGAACATATCTTTGATGGGAAGACGCTGCTTTTCTGAGCTGACCTGAAAGCAAAGTTAAGATCTGAGATATGCTCACAGCCTCTTAGTTACCTTTGAGAATGCTGATATTGACTCAAGATCTCTGGAAGAGGGGGCTGGAGTCCTAACGTGTACCCACCTGTTGCTCCAAGGTGGATAAGATGTACTCCTTCTCTGAGATGCCTATCCATGGGTGAGAGACAGGGTCATTGTACACCGAAATGAACCAGAGAAAGCTGGAGACACAGCCAAGGCCTCCTGCAAGCAGAGGGCCAAGTTAGCAACTGAGCTCATTTTGGCCTTTTGAATAAATCTGTTTTGTGTTGGGACATTTTTTGATGTAAGACCTAGGAAACGCTCTTACTCTGTATATGCCTGGTTCAACTTCTCAAATAATTCATACAAGTATCATGGTTTTCCAGCACCCCTTTCTTCACATTTCTTATTTATTTGTGTGTGCAAATCATGTGTCTTAGGAATGGCATGACACTTGGCATCAATATTTGTAATAAGAGCCATTCTAATAGGTATATGGAGGTATCTCATGTGATTTTTACTTGTATTTCCATAATGGCTAAGGATATTGAGTTATATACACAATATGAATATTTTATCCTCAAGAATTGTGAGCTTCCTACATCACTAGCCATTCATGAAATGCAAATTAAAACCACATTGAGATATCATCTCACCCCAGAAAGAATGGCTATCATAAAGAAATCACTCAACAAATGTTGGAGAGGCTGTGGGGAAAAAGGAACCCTTCTCCACTTCTGGTGGGAATGTAGACTGGTGCAACCGTTATGGAAATCAGTATGGAGACTCCTTAGAAAAGTTGGACTGGAAATCCCATTTAAACCAGCTACTTTTCTACTGGGAATTTTCCCAGAGGATCTGAAAACATCATATCATAGGGATATATGTGTGCCTATGTTTAGAGCAGCACAATTTGTGATAGCCAAATCTTGGAAAGAACCAAGATGCTCATCACCAGAGGAATGGTTGAAAAGGATGTGGTACTTTTACACAATGGAGTATTATTGAGCTATTAAGAATGATAAACTCGAAGTCTTTATATTAAAGTGGATGCCACTTGAACATATACTCATAAGTGAAATAAACCAGACACACATGTGTAAATATTATATAGTCTACCTAGTATAAGAACTCAAAAGAAGAAATACAAATAGAAAGATATAATATAAGTAAAAGGAAAGCAGGATCTCAAGGACTTAACTAATCAAGAGAGGGAAAGGAGAAGAGCTAGGAAACATGACAATGTCAAGCCATACAGTTATATGTAGAAGATGAGCAAGGCAATGATCCTGAGAATCTTCAGGAGATTTTTTAATCTAGCAATTATTTGGAAAGATTCTCACCCTGACTAACTATATATACTGGTACCTGTGAACTAAGCTACTGCACTGCAGATGGTAATTTGTATTAGTAGTTTCATGCTTGGAGTGCCAAGTTTCATTCTGGTCTACTGAATATGGGCTGCTTGTCATGACATGCCAGTTGCTGCTATGATGTCTCTCAGGTATATGGTTGTTCAAGAAGAAGCGGGTGGTGAAGGAAAGCAAGAGACAGGAAAAGGAATATTGTGGGACTGACCTGCTTCAAGGTTGTATATGGTGAGATTTTTGGACTTATGTGCAAACATGAGAAGTATTTAATTCTTTATGCCTATTTTTAAAATATATTCTAAC